TTTAATAAACAATTATTCCCTGTACATGGGATTTGTTAGAGAAATTTCTTGGGGTTTTGATTCTGTATGTCTTAATATTTGAGAGTCTGTTTGTTTATGTTTGTGATACAATCTGGTAAGACAGCTTCTTGTGCTTGACCTCTCCAGAGCTGAACTCAGGATTAGATGAAGAACAGATTTACTTCCTAAACATTATTACACTTCTGCAATTGCATATTACAAAAAATTGGGCTTAAATCTGGGGCAGTAATATTTGAAGAAATTATGGTAATGGTGGAATTTTGAGAATGTACAGACTGAAAGGAAAATCTTCATAAAGCTCAGTAAAGGAAGAAAGATCTAAGGCTGACTTGGTTTGTGAGTCTCCTATGCTTTTGCCAGCTAGCTATGAAAACTCTGGGGAGCTCTAGACTGAGCTTTATCTGCTTGTAGTGAAGTCTTCTCCTGTTTTCTGTTTCTTTTTCTTGCCATGTTCATTTTAAGAAGCTTTATATGACTTCAGTGACAAATACTATTGACTCCAGGCATAGCATAGAGATGTAGAAAAAGCAATGGCTAAAGTCTTTTGTTTGGTGAAGCATTACACCTAAAAATGTGTCATATACAATACTTGATTGCTGGTATCCAACCATTACCACAGTGAGAAGAGAAGAAAAGAAAGTCATTGTGCACCTGCAGATCAATTCTCAAAGATCTCTTATAAGCTTGTACCAGAAGTCTTGAAGCAGTCCATTATCTCTTCTAAATTAAATTTAAATTTACCTCTTTGCACAAAGTCTTTATGCTGTTTCAGTCAGATGTATCACTTCAAAAGAATGTGAAATGGTTTCATAAGGGGCTTTTTTGCTACTTCCTGGACAGAGAGGTGATTTTCAACGGTGTTCTGATTTCCTAACAGGAAAAAAGAGAAAATAATCTAAATATTGCCCTTTTCAGAATTACTACAGAATTTCTGTGGGATTGTTATCTAATTAATCATAGGAAGTTCCTCAATAAAATTCAGGCATTTTTATATGTTTCCCATATCACAAGCAATTTTATGTACTTGTAGTTCATAAATGCAAGCTTCATTCAATCTGAAGCTATAATATTCAATAAAATTTTCCCCTGCTATGAGTCAAGAATGTCCTAAATTATTTTTGGTCCATATTTTACTGTCTTTGCTTCCAATTAAATGATCTGTGAATACTGGCAATTACGCTGCCTTCCTTTGCCAAATCACTGAAGTATCAGTAAAGGGTCATCATTTAAACAGCTACAAATTAATCACAAAAGCCAACCTTTAACACATCCATACAGTGATTTTAATGTGGAATGGCCCCCTTATGCCTCTTAATTTTTCTTTTTGTGAATAGCAGCTGTATTGCATCACAGGACATTAAACGTTTCAGCTCATGGGACTGAATCAGTCATGTTTTTAGAAATTAAAAACAAATGTTACAATAGGATAAATGATAATATTTGAAGCAATAACAGTTTCCTAGTAGGTATTCCTGTTTAATAGATTGCTTTGGTTTTCAGCTTGTAAACGTAACAGTATCTTTCACTAGGTGAAATGATAGAATATTTTTTTTTAAATTCTAAGTTTGACAGTAACACCAAAAGATGCAAACCAAAAGGGCAAGAAATTCAAAAACAGGTGTAGAATTAATTCATTAAATTATTCTTATTAGCTGAATTAGCAGCAGCAGCAAAAAGTAGACACTAGTGGCATATTAGTGGCATAGTAGTGAGGATTCAAATTGCATGTCTTCCCAGCAGTGTATCAGTACCATATTAAGAAGTCCATATGATAGCAGAAGAGAAGGAGAAACAGGGGATAAAGATAGAATAGTTTCTTGTTCTTGTGTAGGAAGCTATAGGAGTTTAGAGTTAGAAGGTATATGGAAGCAAAGAGGAAGTTAATGTATTTATAGCATTGGTTCCCTTTTCACCTGGAAACTGAAAAGGTTAGTCTAGAACACACACAGCTCATTTAGAATTGTCAGAGTTGTAATGCCCTGAACATCTTAAGGCAGTAAAGTATCTTGCTGGATAAAATGATCTGGAGAGGAGTGTGTAAGGAGCCCAGTGGAGCCAAGTGCCTCAATAAATGTAATGTGTCAGCCCCTCCATCCTTATCATTAAAACGTTGGTGCGTAGCAATATGTTTTGGTCTGGTGTCATGATCTTCCCAACCTCTGAATAAACCTGTACACTAGCAAATATGTTCTGTGGTACAGTATGCTAATAACTATTCATCTTTGATTTTGCTCATGGTAAGAATAAATACATAAATGATAATACGAGATGAGAAGAAATGAAAAGTGCTCGTTCCAGCTGAAATTGCAGGCTTTTAACTGGGTCGGAATTTTGCAGTTGTAGTAAATAGGTACCAGTGAACAATTAAAAGTTTGATCTGAAAAATGTCACCTACAGTTAGAAACACAGTGCTGGAACATTAATTCATTAATACATGATATGAAAGAGAACCATATTCTAAACTCCTGAGAACATCTGAACTGTCAAACCTTCTTATTTCTTAGCCAGCACTTGTTAGGCTGATAAAAACTGAATGCAAAGAGCTGTCATTTAAAGAATGGTTTAAAACTTTATATAAACCAATCTGACATAGAAATGTGTGCTACTTGTGATTAATTTGCAATCAAAAAAAAAAAAAAGAGAAGGCAATAGTGAGACCATTTTTTGAGTTTTTCTCCATGACTCTTTCCAATGTTAATGTCACTAAAGTTTCCTGGAATGCAGAGCTTTTATTGTACAGGGTAAATTAACTCCCATTTAGCTAGGATAGCCATCATTTTGTTTGTCTTTATATTTTCTTTCTCTACAACTCCTACTGATAAGTTGATAAGCATTGATTGATAAGTTTTCCTAAGCTCAAAATATTGATTAATTCTTGTCAGAGTGGCATCTAAGAAAGTTCAGATTGATGTATTTGGTCTGTTAGCAGAAGTCCTCAGCTGTTTGAAGGAAGGGTAACTAGTGGAAAGAATACATGATTAACAATATGTAAATATGGAATCTTAGAAACAAAACTTACCTTATGTGAGACTAAAACATCTTTCTGCTCTGTGCTTCTTTCTGATTTGGTTGTAAGTAAATCCAGTTTGCTGGTGACTGGCAAAGATTCTTAAAGCACCATGCAAGAATAAAGGTTTACCCTTAATTATCAGTTTCAGGATGGACTTACGATATTCAACATCTCATGAAAATATAAGAACTGTGAGAAGATCTTGGTTTTTATATAATTGTCTGCTAGAAGCTGGCTTGTAATTATTTTTATTACTTTCTATCTCTTTTCAAAAGACAGCAGTTCCTGGTGTTCGTAAATATCCTTAACTTATATAATGTCAACGTCTTGAGGGTTTATAAGCTGTTGCTTACTATGCTACATACTGCATTTCATGTCAGTAACTGAAAACAGTGAACCATTTAGAAGGCCAGAAACTATCATTCATTGTCACTGACATGATGTGATCCCAGATATAAAATTGATATACAAATCTATTATACTTTACGCTTGTGCTTTGTATAGGTACATGTATGCAAATAGTTGAAACAAAGTTTCAGAAAGTTCAGCATATACATGGCTGCAAAAAGACGGTCATCCATCTGAAGTTTTCATTCAGTACAGTTGGTGTCCAAACATCTCCATAAAAGAACTCTGTAGAGAGTTTAGGAAGTATGGCTCCACTTAGCAGACAAGTTGCATATTCAGACCTTCAGTATTTTCTGTTCTTGTGTATTTTGTGGTCTCTTTCATATTCCTTCAGCATCATTGCTGTTCAGTTATGCCAAATGTGTAATAAAGGATAATGTATGACCAATAATAATACAGCAAGGTGAGAACTGTAAGTCTCTTTTTCCTCTCCTGATTACATTTTCCTCAGTAGTTATCAAAGGTAGCCCATGCATGTACCAGACAAAACCTTTAAGACAGGGAAGGAAAGACTGAAAATCCTTGAAAGTTGGGCACATTTTGACAGCAGGTATCATAAAAATAAAGTGCTGTTAAGCAGAAGAGAAAACAACTTTCTATCTCAGAGTTGTTCCTGAGGAATCCCTTACTGTGCAAAGATCTAAGAAGCAGTAGTGTGTTTGGCCTCACCAGGACTGATGTGATTTCACTTCAGCTCTTGCCCAAAACCAACAACTGACTTAACTCAGAACCTGTGAGGAAGCACTAGGTTTACCTCTGCATGAAAAATATTGCTCACCCAGTCCAGACATTAATTCAATGCTGCGATTTCAAGCTTTGTCTTTATGCATATTTTAGTCTGTCCTTTGAAATAATGTAATGACTGAGCATCCTGGCCCCACTTCTGGCCATTCTGTATCTTCCTTATTTTCCTAGAGATGCAAGACAGACATTGAAGTGGCCATCTGGAGATTTCCCCAGCCTACAGGTAGCACAGCTAACTAGGCATGGCTCTGCATTGCAAAAAATGTGTGGCCTGGCTGAGTAAAAGAGCAGAGGGCAGAACAAACTGTGTCTGTACGAGCCCCATGGAAAGAGCTGGGAGAGAAACAGAAAGTTTACCTCCAAAGCACAACAGAAATACACAAGACTCTTTTTCTGTAACATTATTGTTTGCCAATGAATTCACCTCTCTAGAGTAACAACAGCTACAATCATGCTACAAATAAAGCTTGAGCAAGTTGTTAGAGGATTCATCATCTCCAGTAATTTCCATTTTTAAGAACATATATTTCTAGAACATGTTGCAACATGTTTTATTTCTATTATAGTCAAGCCTGAAACTGCAAGATGCAAAGATCTCATATAAAAGCATTCCACATTCTCAATTGTTTGTAATGGGCGTTAAAGGAGTTTACTTATTTCAGGGCACCATCCTCTTTCACAAAACCTGATGTTCATATTCAGAAAAATGTGTTCTTCAAATCAGTGTTATGAACCTTTGAAAATTGAATGCCATAAAATTAAGCACAATGCACGATATAGTCCTTCATGTTTTCCTTCCTGTGTTCATTTCTTTTAGTGCTGGAGTCGGCAGAACTGGCTGTTTCATTGTGATAGATGCCATGTTAGAGAGAATAAAGCATGAAAAGACTGTAGATATTTATGGCCACGTAACTCTAATGAGAGCGCAGAGGAATTACATGGTTCAAACTGAGGACCAATACATCTTTATCCACGATGCACTGCTGGAAGCAGTGACATGCGGAAATACCGAAGTGCCAGCCAGAAACCTGTATGCATATATCCAGAAGCTGACACAGATAGAAACAGGCGAGAATGTCACAGGAATGGAACTGGAATTTAAGGTACTGGGATTTTATATTGTGGGGAACAAAAACCAAATGGCTGCTGAAGCCGCGCCTCTGATCCTGAGAAG